ACCCCAAAAAATCTTGAGTTCCAAAAAGGAAAACCCTCAACCCTAAAGGCCTGAAGCTTGAACTCCAAACCCTCAGCCCTGAAGCCCTAAGCATCAAATCCTCAACCCAAAGTCCTTACGACTCTAGAGCCCGAAGCTCGAGGACATAGCCATCCTCGAGAACATGCACTGTAGCCTGCTGTTCCAGATTCTTTCCCAGGAGTTTCATGAGGTTTTAGGGTAAAAGGGGTTCAAGGGTGTAGGGGCTGCGGGATTAGGGTTAGGGGCTTCAGAACTGAGGATTAAATTTTGAGGTTTGGGGATTCAGCTTTTAGTAGGGGGTTTACTTGGACCCAACAACCCAAACAGTAACCCTAGATATCCCCATTATGAACCTACTTAGTAAGTCCCTTTGACCCTCCAAGTAAGGTGTGCAGTTCCGTGCAGTTCGGGTCTGGAGGTGTTTAGAACATAGACTTGGAGGCTTACTTTTTGCTTGCTTCTGTCAGTTTATGGCAGGTGTGGAGTGCATGGGTGATGTCTAGTAAAACGGCAGTTTCATAGTAAGCTCCCATATCATCCTGGTAAGGACCCCCTCCCCATACTTCATTATTGTCGGTAGATACCCCTGGGTGTCAGTGGAAGTTATGCGTGTGGTCTGTTGCAAGGCTTCGCTTCAATGATGGATAAGCTAGCGACCCCCCCTTCTCCTACAGGGTTTCCCGCTAATCAGGCTCATGCAGTAGTCAGGGAGGATGTAGATGTCTAGAGGTGCCGTTGCATGCTGGACCTCAACCCCTGAAATATTGACGATGTTTTGTGTTGGATTTCGCGTCAAGAAACCCTCAACCGCAAACCCTAAACACACGGCTGGGTAAGTGGTCTTCTGGAACAAAGGGTTGACAGACAGACCTCACAGGGCAGATTTTCGAGCTTGTCTGTGGGCTTCTAACTGCAGCTAACCCCCTTAAGTAGATAGAATATGGCTTTGGGTATATTATAATAAGATCCCCATATACCCCATATTCTATCGACTATAAACCCTAAACCCTGAACCCTGAACCACAAACCCTAAACCCCTTAAGGTGGACTATAACAGAAGCACGGCAAAAAACTGAAAATGTGCCGCGTCGGGAAGGAAAAGATGAACATCTTCTCGGAGCTCAGTGAGGCTGCTTGAGGCTTAGGGTTTAGGGTCCAGGGTTTAGGGTTTAGGGTTTAGGGTCCTGGGTTTTGGGCTCAGGGTTTAGGGTTTGGGATTTAGAGGTTAGGGT